ACAAAACTGTGACTTTACTCGTTAAATAAGGCAATGAGTAAAGATGGCAAAGAGAAATCTATCTATAATTAGTGGCAGGTCGTGCAACTTCCTACTGTCTTTCATAGGAAATTCTGTCATTTGGCTTTCATATTATCCCTAATTGACTGTAGAATAATTTGGGAAAATAATTTAAGAAGGCTTCTATTTTCAAGTTTACAACAATTCATTTTATACATACTTTTTCATAAAAAAGAGCTCTGCTGACCTCCACTTTCATGAATTATTTTTAAAAATCATAGTTGAAAGTTAACTTCAAAAATACTCTAAACAAAATTTTTGAATTTGATATTTTAAAATTTGATTTTTAAAAAATTCAGTGAACACTAATAGATCGACTGCTCTGTGCCCATCTTTGCATATAAGTCCCTGAGTTTCTGAGCCTGTGGCTGCTGAGGCAGACAACAGCACCAGCATTGCAGGGACTGTCATGAATTCGTACACTAAATTCCAAGACAGCATGGCTAGGGGAGGAGCAAGTCTACCTCAGAAGCTGGGATAGTCAGAGAAGCTTTGGGGGAAGCTGTTTAGAATTTGGACTGCCAAGATGAGTTTGCCAGGCAGAGTGCTGGGAAAGGATATTTGGAGAAGGGACAATCAGACCAAGTACAACAAACACAGCAAGTAGATGTGTTCAGAAGACACTGAAGAGTCTCCAGATTGGCTGGATTATAGAGGGTGAGAATCGGGAGGTAGGCAGGATGTGAGACAAGAGAGACATATCAAGTTTGCCTTCTGATTGCTCCTTTATATCCTGGGTTGTAGGTCACAGTTACAATTGTGGGTGTCCTCTTGTACATCTATCAGTGGATTAGTACTTACATTAGGAGGGAATACCAGCCATATCCCCTCCCTAGCTTGCAGCTTTAAAAATAGGAACTCTAATCTACATTTTCTAGTTCAGTAGTATTTTCAAATTGAATGGTAAATTAAAAGGAGAGAGAGACAACTTGGAGACACTGAAGCCCACAGGTTTGCTGGAGCAGTTACCACTTCTCTAGCCTTCAAGGCTGTCTCATGGTTACCTATAATCTCCCACCTCCTTTTGCTCTCAGGTCTTCTAAATAGAGTATTATGAGGGAGGGTTTGGGGAGTAAGAGTGGAGGTATTGAGAGGCAAATTTAAAATCAGCAGATTAGCTTTTAACTATCCTTTTGGCTTGCCTGTTTTTGGTAGGCAAGCAAAATGTAGACAGAAATAGTATTTTTTTTACCTTTTAAAAAATGTGGAATGATAAAAATTCTAGGGAGAACTAGTCTCATTTTGTTTCCTCATCTTCAATTTGAAAAGGACAGGCTGTATTGTGGGATTTCAAGGTATAAGGTCCTGGCATTAGTTTTGTGCTCATGCCAGTACACAGTTAGAAGAGATAGCTCCTGTTCTGTTCTCAATGCCAAGAAGATATCACTTTCTAAACTGCATGTCAGTGTTTGATATTTATTGGATAAAACATCTGTCCTAATTCTTCAGTTTCCTGGCTCCTGTTGTAGTTTTACATGCAAGGGATTTTCCCTGATCCTTTCTTTAACATTAATTTTCCTTTGGCTTGTATTTCAGAGGCCAAAGTCAGTCTGATAGATAAATATTCAGGCAACTGTTTAAAATGAGTCCTTCATTATTTATTTATCACATCTATTATTAAGAAAGCTGCAAGAATAAGTAGAAGTGAAAACCTTGCATTTTGTCAGAATATGAATCTGCATGAACCTGTACAGGCCAGCTGCACTCAGTGAATTAGTGTTTTTAGATTCAGCTATTTTCACGTCATATGCATGGAAAACGAATGAATAAAGCAACTTAAATGTCCATGAAAAAAGGTCCATATTTGTCAGTAATTTAAAAATGTATATGAGCACACTGAGTGAAGCCTATGCGTGAATTGCAAATATGTCCCACCCATTTTTTCTTTCCTGATTTTTTTTTTCTTAAAAATAAATTATTCAACCCAAAGGAACAATCGCATATTTTTTTTTCTGTTACATTTTGCTTTTCTTTAAGGTTCTATAGTTATTGTGTCAATAAATAATTAGGGTAGTAAATAATTAGGGAAATATGCTTTGATCTGGGGAAATAAAGTCAGGAACAACTTCCAGAAAGAGGGATTAGGGAGAAAATTGACTACCTCAGACAGGTATTCTTGATGTTTTTCTTGGGTCTAGAATGGAGTGTAAGATAAAGCGGTGAGTTAAGGAAAATGAATCATTTTTAGAACAAACTGCATGGTATTCCTTAATGCAGTTTCAGCTGTTGTCCTGCCCTCCGTCTGAAGTTCTGGGCTCTAAATTGAATAGAATCTTTCTTTTGGATACAACATATATAAATAGATGTCAATCACTCTCAACATAGTGCCATAATGAATTTAACCAAAATGATGCAGTGTATATGCTGATACTGAAATAGGTATCCCAATTATCTGATGGTTTCTTAGGTCAGAAATAGAGCAGCTGGTGAGCTATATAACAGTTACCCTCAGGAAGGACAGGTGATTGCATATTGCTTATTTTCTTATTCAGAAAATAAGAGGGATGCGAGGCCTCAGTTACATGTACACTGGGTCAGAATTTGTTACTGTTTAATCCTGCTGAAGTGAAGTTTACCTTTGAAAGACATGGAAATAATAGCATTTTCTAAACAAATTGGAAGTGTATTTAGATGCCCAGTATGCAGAAGCTTTCTCATATTTTCCCTAAGTTCCTTAATATCTTTGGACCGCATTTAGTTCTCCTTTAAACGAACTAACCTGTAAGTTTCCAGTTTTCTAGGTATAAATGCCATTATAAGAACGTGAAAGTAATAAAACATATTCACTAATGCACACTTTACATTTGGCTGGGCGTACATGAGATCTATTCATTTGGGATCATATATTCTATCTGCCATCTCTCTGTCACCTCCTCAGTTGGTCACATTTCATAGACTTCAGAACATTGAAAAGACTACCTGTGTTATCAGTAAATACTATAAATTTATGTTTAGACTATAAACTGATGATTATTTATATTTCTTGATAAATAATAAGCTTTGGCAAGGTGTTACAAATTATTCTAGTCATTATTTTAAGGAGAGAAGCCTAGGAACCATAGTTTATGTGATCAGTGTAATAAACTGTTTCTTAACTAGAACATTTAGACCGTCTTAAGGAAAAAAATCATGTTAAGTGAAAAAAGTCATCTGATCTTTAATTCAGTGACTTTTCTCACTATATTCATCCGCAAATCTTTTTGCTACTTCAACCATAGTATTTCCTAGACCCGTCACTTACTCACAATTCTCAATTTTTCCTTGTCGGCGGCTGAGTGACTTGTTTCCCCCTGCCTTTGTTAACTTCTAGTTTCAGTATCACGCAACTAAATTATGCTTCTTTCGATATGATATTTTCTGTATCAGATCTTGACTTTTGAAACCAAATATTGTAAGTGGAAAAATCATAGGTTCTGAAGCTAGACTAAGTTGGCCTTGAATCCCATCTCTGCAGTTTCATTGGCCCTATGACCATGAGCAAGTTATTTCACCTTTCTGAGCTCTAGTTTTCTTTCTCGAATATAGAAATATGTACCTTATTGTGTTACAAGAAAGCTGCAAGGATTAAATCAGATCACGTGCCGGAAGTGTCTGGCATTAATAACTAACAGTTATTTTAGTTTCCTAAATTTGTTCATTTGTCTGATTACTTTCTGTATTAACAAAAAAATTCATTATTTTTTTCCCAAAATTGTCTCTCACAGGCTGCATGATTATTTCTGGGCAAGGTGTGTTTGAGTCTATCAAAAGCCACTTGAGTGTTCTCAAGGTGCATATGCCTGTGCTTCCCACTTTTTGCTGCAGTAATTTTTATTTCTTCACCTTCTTTTAAAACTCAGGTCAGAAACCTCTCAAGTTGCCATCACTTGAAAAGTTTTCTTGAATTAGCATTAACCCTGGTGCCCTTAAAAAGTCATGTTTTGAGCTTTTTTACAATATGTTCTCAAGTTATTTTCTTCTGACTTCCTCTTGCCTCCTGCCTTTGACATATGCCTCCATTCTGTCGCTAATCATAGTACTTCCTCATTTTGATTTTCCAAACTCCTTCTCCCCCAGTGTATACAGAAAAGGGCCTGCATCTGTGCTCCTACTCAAACCATTTCAGTGTTAAAGTCTCTCAGTTTGAGGAGGAGTCAAATGAGGACTCAGAAGTCTCTCAGTTTGAGGAGAACTAAAGGTAGAGTTCTGGCTCGAACGTGGGTTTCAGAGAGCAGACACTGCCTGTGGGCTCTGCTTGGTCACCCAAGTCAGTGAGACGTTGATTCTCCTAAAAAGCAGTCTTTTGGAAGAAAAAGTCTTCTATAGAATAGACAACATGCAAGCCTGACTCTGATAAAAATGGGCAGTTGTATTGTAGTCTGTGAGAGCACCCTTTTCCTCAAAATAATTATCTTGAGTTGGTAACAAGCATCTCAGATTTCTTTTTTCCTTACCCATGCTTTATGACTCAGCCCATAGGAGAAAATAAACATGTCCCATAGGTCACAGATTCTGTGGTAGTAAGGCTGTGAAGTAGAAGAATCGTAATACCTGTGAGGCTGGGTAGATTTAAAACAATTGCATTAATTTAGATTTTTTTTTTCAGAATACTGTGCATTACCCAATCTTCATATTCAAATTCAGATAGTACCTACTGACTCCCAACTCCTGAGGCAGATATTGTCTATTTTTCATGTCCATACAATAGTTCAGTGACATAGAAATTATCATCAATTTGCGGGTAAGGACAGGAAGGCTTAAAAAGGTTAAATGGAACTGTGGCCACACAGTTATTAAATGATTCCGTTTCTTCATATCTAGATACTCTTCTTTTTGCTGTGCTATTTTGCTTTATTTTAGGTATCCATTTTCAATTGGAGAAAAGCTCCAAGTGTGTAATTACAGTGGATATAAAAAAAGGAATTCAAATTAGTAATATCATTATCTCTTTCTGTTTCTAGTTTGTTCAAAGCAGGTAACTGATGAAGCATCTTCCACTCGAGATTCAAGCCTTACTAACACAGCAGTGCAAAGCAAGTTAGTGTCTTCCTTCCAGCAGCACACCAAAAAGGCTCTTAAACAGGTAAGATAGCTGCCATTTATTCTCTGTCCTTCAGTTCTGTGCACTTAAGGTAACGTTCATTTTGCTGATCAAGTAGGTAGGAACCTAGGAATCAGAAAGCAGAATTTTCCTGAATTCAACCCCATCCGTGATATTCAGTTCAATAATTTTAATCTTTGATAAAAGAAAAAACTAGGAGAGACTTGACTGAAAATTTTAATGTAAAATAGAAGAAGGAATATGCATCCACTGAAAATACATAAAAATTTGTATTAAGATTTTGTGTGTCTATGTGTGATTTATAGTAGTAAATCTGTTGGGTTCATAAATGCATTGCATATTTGAAAAATAGCATCTCTATGTTTTTTGTGCTTATCTGATAGTATAAAAATAAATGATAATTTATTTGTTGTTACTGAGATACATTAAGTTACAAATAAGAAAAATAGTGAGTGTTGCTTACTTATATCTGGAGTATTCATTAATGAGTGTTGTTTGGTGCTGAATGGCAGTTAAAGTTGCCATATTATTCTGCTGTCACAGAGGCAGTACGGGCCTTTGTGGCCTTGCACTGAGATGGTACAAGGAGGGGATATTTACAAGGTTGGGCTCTGGGCGCTGACATACCCTGGTTTAAATTCTTGCTACTCACTTGCTGTCTCTAGGCAAGCTACTTCTCCTCTCTGAATCTTAAATTCCTTATATAGAAAATGTGGAAAATAATAGTATCTTGCTCCTGGGATTGATCTGAGAATTAACTGAGGTAATAGGATGAAAGCACATGGTAGAGTGAGTGGCTCATAGAAATAATAGTGACTTCTGTTATACTGGCAAATGCTAAATTGTGCAGAGAAGAAAAGGAGGAGATGTTATTGTTAGATGGAGCCATCGTATGATGATAACACAAAGAGTGTCAGTAAATGGAAGGTTCACGTATTTAGCCCTGAATTCATAGTTTCCCCTTAAGTGCTTTCCTCTTGTACATTCTATTTTGATCCTTCTATAACAACTCCCCCTTCAGCCACCCATTGATGACCTTTACCAGATCCAGGATTAGAGGTATCAGTCTAGTGATATATTTATCACAAGGAAAAGAAAAATTGTGTTTTCTAAAATAGAGTTTTTTAAGTTCCACCAACCCCTAAAGCTTCTTAATGTGCACATCCAAACTTCTAGACTTAGAACGTTTCTACCTATCTTCTCCTGTACCTCAGACAAGAAAACACAGGAAAGAAACTTAGCATGTTTATGCTGAATTATGTCACCTTCCTATTTCATATTATTGACACTGCAGCATTGCCATTCATTGGTTATTATATTGAAGGTAGTAACAGTATATTTCACCCTGCATAGGTCAAGTACCCTTTGGAGAGCTTGCCACTTACTGCATTTGAAATGTTTTAGATGCCAGAGAACAAAACTGAAATCGGTGTTGAGATCCCTTTTTAATTGATGAAATAAAAAATGGATGTAGGTAGCAAAGCCTGGGCGACTATTCAGACAGCAAATAAGATGCAGGTAATACAATACTAACCAGAATAGAAGAAAAGATACAAAAATGGACACTTGTGGCTGTGGCATTTAAGAAACATAAATGGGATCATAAATGAAACATACTTGTGAGGTTGTTCAGTGACTTGAAAAATGTGCACACCATGAAATCTTCCTGTATATGAATAGAAATATAAAGGTACAACTTTCTGGATTATTCTATATCATTAATTTGTACTTTCATCATTTTGGTTTTGTGTTATTGGAACATTTTTTGCAATTACTAAAACATTACACAATTTTAAGTGATTTTTTTTGTTTTGTGTTTTTTGTGGAGCATATTTTCATGGGAACTGCCACTGCTTGCTTAGAGTCTAAGCTTTGTTTTAAGAATCCTGTCTTGAAAGCTTCTTAATGTCCTGAAAGAGTTATTAATTCATTTCTTAAAACTTCTATTTTATAACCTGTAGCAAATTAGTAACCAGGAGAATATGGCTCAATATAGAGCAAATATGCTAATATTTGATTAATAATCAAACTTATATTGGAAACATATTTAGAAGAAAAGCTGTTCTTGCAGAATTTTGCCCGGATTCCATGTAATTGCTGAATTTCTTAAGACAGCATTGCAAAAATTGACTGAACATGCAGCATTTTAAACTGTAGCAACCTCAGCAAATCGACAGCTTTCTTTTCTTTTGGATAGCTGAATGGCTATGACCATGCAGAATTCTTTGAAAGTGTGTTATATACATATATATGTATATATTTCCATATACATGTGATCTGTGTTTGTGAATATATGTTTCACATGTATGTATACATGCACAAATCATAATCATATGAACCTAGGGCCAGGAGAATGATCTTAAAAATAATTACATTAGCTGATAATTAACTGTTATGGTTTCTAGACCCTGTACTCTCCATTTTACATGGGATATATTATTTAATTCTCATGCAAATGCTTGGAAGTATGTACTTATATCTCCATTTTTCAAAGGAAGAAACTAAGACCCAAGTTAGGTAACTTGCCCAAGATCACCCTGCAAGCAAGTAAATCTTAGAGATGACGTTTGAATCCAGAACCGTAGTTTAGATTCTGCCCTCTTCACAAATGCTGCCTTTCAGCATATGCTATGTAATAGTATAGATGAATTTTTGATACTATCCAAGAAAATCTACATACTTGAGTTGTTATATAGCATATGGAAAGCAATACAGCATACTTATTAAAAATAGCATTTCTGAATAGAGGCTGCTTATCTTCAGTGCCAGCCCATATTGATAACACACACTCAAACATACGTCATTATTATTTTATTAGAAATATGTTGTGATTCAGTAGGACTTTAGTAGTCTATACACTAACCAGTATAGACTCTTAGAAAGAAGTAGATTTAAACAAATTCCTAAAACCAAATAGCTTTATAATCATAAGTGGAGTTAAAAAAATAATTTAAAACAAACTGTCTTACAAAATATGCCAGGCATAATTTCTTAAGTCTGAAGGCCCCCACTTTCTACCCCTGCCTGAAGCACGTTGCTACAGAAAGTGGGCTCTTTGATGTCACAGCACTGTTGATTGCAGTGTAACTGTAAGCTGGACAATCTGGAAGCTATAATGTCCCTTGACTGTTGACATAGAATACTTTTATTGCTCCCAAATATTTGAGTCCCTTTTACTTTCTAATCCTCAAAATGTTAGTTAACATCATATGTGGGGTATAATTGCATGAATAATATAGTGTTATTTCAGTAGTTGTCTTTTTTTTTTCTGCATAAGCATATTCAGAAGCCTCTGGAGAGCAGCAGATTGCTGATTATTACCTTGTTCCCTGTCTTCTTTCTGCCTGGGTATTTTAGTTATGATCCTAAAAAGTGTGAAAAGATTAGATTCTGCATTTTAAAATATAATTCAGGACGATTAAATTTTAGAAATTTTAAACAGCCACAAGATAATGAAAGGTTAAAGAAGGATGAATTCTCTTACGGCAAGTGACATGGTAGTGAACATAACCTTTCTATGTTGTTTGTGTTGGTTTATTTGACTTCCTTCATTATTTATTTAGGGTGGTAGAGTTTATTCATAAAGTTGCAGATGCATTTTCTTTTTGATATTGCAAAGCAGATCTATTCTTGGTATTTTGCTTTAGCTTTATATGTTTGACCAATACTGTGAAATTCCAAAGGTTATATTACATGATAATAGTTTCCGAACATGGGCATTGACATTTATCACACTAGCGGCAATGCAAGTTGTTGGTGCCTGAAACAGCCCACTGTTTTCTATATGTATTTCTAATCATTTAACTTTTAGCATTCACAGCATGTGATGTTTTCAGATTTTCAGTGGAAGAGTACTGCATTCAGTGCATTCTTAAGCTACATTGCTTGTGTTTTTGCGTTGTTAAAATAAAGCAGGCATTACTTGCTTAAAATTCCAAGTTAACACAAAAGCCTCTGATTTGAAGTTTTATTTTATTTTTCCATTAGGATAGGAATGAAAACGAATCCATATTTTTAGAACTATCTAACAGGCTTTCTGTCTGAAAAATCAAATGTTTATTTAAAGGGTTTTTTTCTCTCTCTCTCTTTTTGCAAGAAAGTATTGCAATATGTCACTGGAGAAAAGCATGCACAGTCAGCATCTTTTGATTTCTTTCCTTGCACTTAGAGCCAGAATTGAATTGATGTGAGTGTGATATGATCTTTGCTTTTCCTAGACTGGGTTAGCTATGTTGTATGTGTTTCCTTTGAAAAGTGCGTTCATTTCCAGGGTTAAGCTTGTAAATTTCTTTCATATTAAATAATGCCTGAAAGCATTAAACTTGGTAAATCCAATTATACTCCTTCTCAGAACACCATCAATATTGAAATTGTACTCTGCGTGGTTTGGACAGTGGAACATTATACATGTGACTGGCTTGAAGGTACATTTCTTCATAGTAGACTGCATTTACACTCACCATCTGCTTGTTTATTTTGATTTTGATATTGCTTCTTTCTGGATTTGAAAGGACAGGATTTAAAGTTGTTCTACAAGATAGTCCATTAGCATTCCTCAGTACAGCTAAGGCTTGAGACAGTTGGAGGTGTCTCATTTATATCCTCCCCTAAAATGAATCTAGACTCAGATAGACTGATTATGTAATATCTGTCAAAATAAATCACATTATAGACAAATCAACAGGGCCACCACTAGCTAATTAAGACTCTAATGTGTAATAGAAAAAGCTGTCCCTTCTAAGTTGTCACAACAGAAAATAACATCCCCTCTTTTAGGGTACCCCTGTATAGGACACAGCATCCATAACAATCTAAAGTGATCCTCTTAATCCTATTTTCTTAATCTATTCCATGAATTTATAATATCCAGGCTGTGAGATACCCAAATACAGATAATCACAAGTTAATTTGCAGATGATTTCTATTATATATGTAGCATAATGTATAATAGGAATTTTCTTGTTTTCCTAGAATTTCAGCAAAAGCTCAAAGCTGCAGACAGTATGATACCAGTAACCCTGTTTGGAAGAGAGGTGTTAGACATAGCCGCAAAGGACTAAGAGGAGACCAGATGGTCGATTGAACAACCCCCAACAGATGTATAAAAAATAACTCAAGATTTGGGGGTGTGTGTTCTAAACCTTGTATTTTGAAGGATTATGAGATTTGTTAAATCAGAGGGCTGACCATAATGGCTCGGCTACACATTGTACAGTGGGACAAGGATGCTGACTGTGCTTGTATCCTGAGCAGGTGCTGAACAGCTAGTCAAGCATGGGGAATTTGTAAAGACCTTGCCTAGGAAAGCTGCCTACTTAGATGAGAGGAACCCGGTACGTAGAGCCTGCACTGAGGGGAAGTGCGGAGGTCAGCTGGAGAGAGCGTGGTTTATGTCAGTGTTGAACGTAGTTTCAAAGGCCTCCCAGCAAAAGCCTCTTATGTATCCACTAATGCAGGCCATACAAATCTAGCAGTTGGCCCTCTGCCTCCCAAAAGGTTATGATGTCATGGCTGTGACAACACTGGTTAAGACAACTTTGCTCTAGTCTTTCATTCCTATTCTCAATCCTAATCCTGGGGAACTCAGGAGAAAAAGAAAGAGGAAACAAAGGAATAACAAAACCAGAAAACCCTTCCCCAGTGAAATTCCTGATTTGAGACATAGGCATGGTATGGGGAGGGTAGAAGGGAAACTTTGTATTTGACCTCATGTTTTTCATCCTGAATATAAGTCCTCCGATCTTTATAAAGCCTTGGCGACCATTTTGGAGTTCTTTGCTTTCTCTGTAAACTCCCTACTCCTTTTTTTCCATCTACTCTGTTTTGTTTTTGTTTTTGTTTTAATTTCTGTAGTAATCAAAAGTTATCCCTGCTAGTGGATATGATACTATTTTTTTACTTATTGGAGACCCCACAATTTTCACACAACCAGTTTCTTCTTGTCATTTATGTCTCACCTCCTTTGTTGCCTCCAGAGAGGCCATTTCTGACATCCCACTCTAGATTGGTTCTCCCCACCCAAGTTACTCTACTTTACTGGCATACTCTACTCTTTCTGGCATAATTTTCTTAGCACTTGTATGTGAGTGAAACACTTATATTATTTCATGTATTTCCTTGTCAATCCTTCACTAAAATGTGGAATAATGAAAACTACTCTCATGTTCACCACTATGGATCAGCAGCACTTATGCTATCGTACAGCTGAATAGGGTCTCAAAAATGCGTTGGTTGCAGAAAGGATAAGTTATATAAATAACAAAAAATGACATTTGTTGAGTATTTACTATGTGAGGTAAACTCTGATAACCACTCTTGTGCAGATTTTCTGTTTAAAGCATCTTGCCTGCGCTGCTGCCTCTGTTTTGTAGGGACATTGACCCAAGTCATTTACCCAGCAGCTAGTTAGTTAAATCTTTCTCTGACTCTACAACTCCTTAACCACTGCATCACACTGCCAATTTTTCAGAAAATTCTGAAATTCTGTAAAATTCTTCTGTAATCCCAGTACTTTGGGAGGGAGGCAGGGAGATCGCTTGAGGTCAGGAGTTCAAGACTTTCCTGGCCAACATAGTGAAACCTGTCTCTACCAAAAACAAACAAACAAAAAACTAGCCAGGGGTGGTGGTGCAAACCTGTTATCCTTGCTACTTGGGAGGATGAGGTGGGAGGATTGCTTGAACCCAGGAGGCGGAGGTTGCAGTGAGCTGAGATTGCACCATTGCACTCCAGCCTGGGTGACAGAGAAAAAAAAAAAAAAAAGAAAAAGAAAAAGAAAATCTTTTTATACAGTAGGCATTTAGTTTTGTTTGCCTACAGACACATAGTGTGTGTCAGGGCTTTTAAAAAATATTGTACTGAGAAACAGTCAGGTGGTCTGATCAGGAAACATATATTCAAAAAACATCATGCAAACAGACTCAGTGTTGGTCACCTTCTTTTATCCTTGCCTTGTCTTTTTAAAATTAAAAATTGCTACGGGTTTTTATTCTTACATTATTTTTATTATGGCTTTCTTCTGATTACTAATTTTTCTATAGCAGAGTCCTCTCAGCTCTAGAAATTGAGGTCAAAATTTTCGTTGCTTTAATTATTATTTACCACAAATGCTCTAAAAAGACATGCCAGCTTTGACTTAATGATTCCAGCTTCTAGTTAGTTCATCTTTTTTTCCCTAAATATTTTCTAAAATAAACTCTCTAACCACACACACACACACACACACACACACACAGTATTTTTAAAATGCCTAATTTTTTTCTCCATGAGAAGTAGTTTAAATATGTGCTATAAAGGCTCCTAAAAATCGATCACTCTTTGTGCAGGCTTAATTGTTTTGTGAAGTCTTACATAATGGGGAGAGATGGACTTAATTGTAATTTAAATTGCTATGTTGCTGTGTTCTGTTTTATTATTGGATTGTTAGGTTAATTTCTATAAAGTACTTTGAATCCTTATACAGTGCTAGACAGATTGATTCAATTATGTGCAAAATTTATGTGCAATTATGTATACATCTTGAAGAAAGAGTAAATGTCTTAAATATTTTATAACACATATGTCCTCATTAAATGTATTATTGACAGCAGGCTAAAGGTGAGAAGGAAGGCATGTTATTAATCTTTGTATTTTTTGCCCCTCTCCCATGTATAGTAGCTGGATACTTTATGAAAACTTAGTAAATGTAAGAATCAAAGAAAAGATGTCTTATGTTATCATTAACAACCATATCATTTGTAATAGATTTCCCAAGCTTTTACTTTCTCATCAGGCTTTAAATTTTATCTGAGTAAGTTGTATGCATAATTTAAATGCTTTCTCTCGTTTAAATGGTATTTAATTTTCACTTCTGTAATTATTTGGTTGCTAAATCTTATGGTTGACAAGCTGGACATTGGCTAATACCCTTTGCAAATAAAAGGACACCTTTTTTTGACAGCAAGGGAAAATACAGTCAAGGCAGTCTTTCAGGAGATTCTGACAACTCTCAGTCGAAGAACATTAATCAAGTAACTGGGATGTTGTAAAATTGGTAGAAATTACACAGAAACTAGGAATAAAAAGGATTGAGACCGTATGAAGCCAGCCTTTTAACCTTTTGAGGAGTTTTAGCATTCCTATGGCTGTGAATTTAATGGCTTTTCAGTTTCGTGTGCTTAAGACCCTTTTTATTACAGGTAATTTTCTATATAAAGTGATCAGCTAGATAAGCTGTATTTCAAAACTTTTAAATGTCTTTTATTACATTATCATCACCATGGTCGATTCATTTATGAAACACAAAGTGCTCCCATTTGGAGAGATTTATTCTCATATTCATTTTTTCCTGGATTTGCTAGAACCTGTCATGTTCGTGTTCTGAAGGTTAATGCCCAAAGTCAAGCAGACAGAAGCCAAGTGCTGCAAGGTTTCCAAGATTAGGACTGATTCCCTTCACAGAAATAAATGATTCCTGCCATGTTCAGTGATTTTGTGCAGTGCTCCCCACGGCTGAGTGAGTGCATCAATACTGTAGTCCTTACATGCTGTACATACTGATGACACTCAGTGTTAACTTGATTGACTGAGCGGTGCGCTGGAGAGGACGCACCTGCGAGAGAAGTGCAGACACATATATTTTTATCCTGGTTTCGAAACATTTATTTTACATTCATTTGACTTGGGAGCCATAGTTTCAAATTCCATGGACTCTCAAGCCACAGTGCTAAGGTAGAAGAAACCATTAAGTGCTGCTTTGTTGTTAGAATTATACCGAAAATGGTCTCGGGCTTATACCCTTTGCCAAAGCCTGATTTTATGCTTTTAAGGGAAAATGACATGAAGGTAACTATTAAGAATCCTGAGAAATTAAGGGCTCTGTGGAATTTAAGTCTCTTAAGAGGTTCTGTCTAATGATGGGCAAATGAGTCATTTAATTCAATTATGAGCAATTATTTTGGCTATATTTTTATGTCATATCTTTTGATTATGTTTTGTAGGCTTTGAGGCAGCAGCAGAAAAGAAGAAATGGAGTCTCAATGATGGTAAACAAGACTGTTCCTCGTGTTGTTTTGACACCATTGAAGGTGTCTGATGAGCAGTCGGATTCGCCTTCAGGTAAAGAGCTGAAATACCATATGCTTGGCCAGTTTCTTCCTGGAGGAGACTTCCTCACTGAGAGAGATGTCATGATTTTTTTCTGAAACTGAATAATACTTCCACTTAAGGTTTGGCTTAATTTTTTTATACCTTTGACTCAGTGATTCAAAAATATAGACTATTTCCAGTTTAGAAAAGAAAAATGTACCAGCTTGCTCGTCATCAGCAAATGAAGACAGTAGGTGTAAGAAAATGTGTAGGTGAATTTTGTTGTTTCTGTTGCTTTGGCTTTTGTCTGAATGTTGAACTTTAAGGGTGGACCACATGCTGATGTATAATACCATCAAAAGCAGTTCTTTGTGAGTGTGAATTTGTTCTTCAGTCCTGTGCTGCAAAATCAGAAATCCTTTATTAGTTTTTGTGTTCTGGCAGCATTCTTCTCACCCCAGTGCAGCCCTGACCTTTTCTTCTAATTTACCGTCTGTCACTTTATCAGTTATGTACTATTCTATTTATTGTAGATTAACGTTTGTATTTTCTGTTCCTACTTCAACATAAAGTTATTTATAAAGGTATAATCTCTCCCTCTCTTCAAGATTCCTTTCTTCTTCATCTTCCTGTCTCTGTCTTGTATTGTCTCAAAATGGCATAGTATTGTTCAAGCTTATTCGTGTATTTTACAAAAGACCTGACTCTATTTCTTTTAAAAGCTATCAGATCAGTGAACGTAGTTTTGACTCCACTATTAGGCCATCTGTTCTTGCTTTTTGTTCTGTTTGATTGATTTATTGGGCTTCTTTTTTATATCCAGTAGGGGAATCAGATTGTGGCCAAAGGTAGTATATTAACTCTTAGAAAAGGAGATTATATCTACAGTTCCTCAAACAATTTTAGATTTTTCTTTTCGAGGACAGCTAGAGAAGATAATGACATAATAACTATTTCCTTTTTTAGGATCCGAATCTAAAAATGGTGAAGCAGACAGTTCAGATAAAGAAATGAAACATGGGCAAAAATCTCCCACTGGAAAACAAACAAGTCAGCACTTAAAACGATTAAAAAAGTCTGGTTTAGGTGAGTGTTTAATAGACTATGCCATTTCACATTTTAGAAATTTATGTTTCTTCAAATAAATTATCTAAAATTCTTAGAACATTTTTTTAATGATTAAACAAGGAAATTAAAATTTCCCTCCATTTATCAAAACCAAAAAGGGTGCTAAATAAGGAAACATTGTAGTTACAACTGAATGGTCTTAAGCCTATTACTAAATTTGTGAATGATAATATTGGATGAAGCAGAGGGTAAAGATAAGAGACTTAAAATTGATACATGTAAAATAATTATCTGCCGGGTCGTGATTCTATCTAATGTGTAGTGCTTTGTCTGTGCAACGAGGTTATACTTTATTGGAATATGCTGTATTGGAAGAAAAAAAATGCAACCTTTATAAAGGGTTCACTGAACTGGAGAGTACATTGTCAGTGGCGTCTGCTGCAGTAAAATTGCTCTTCCTTGCTTTTTGTCTATGCTTCTTAAAATATTTAGTAGTGGCTCTCTGAAAAAATAATGTAAAATTGCTGAGAAATGTGGGAGGCACAGGCCACAGGTCTTTCAAGTCAGCACCAGGTTTTCTTCGACATACTTCTTTCCTGATAACTTTTCATCAGGAACCCCCAACAGCATTCAGGCAGAAAAGAGCATGAGAATTAAGACAGAAATAAACCTATCCTGGTTTGAGCACTAGAATTCTCAACTGCCACTGCCTTGTTGCTGCACCTGGATCCTGATGGCTTCATTTCTCTCTCTGAGTTGTTTTACCTGTGAATAGGGTCATGATAATAACCTGGATCATTATAATATTTTGTAAAATGTTTGGCAGAAACTACAGTTTTATTGATGTGAACTTTATTACCTGTTCGGCCACTTACTTTCTTGGCAGCTTGAGATAATTCTTATTTGCAGAGTGTATCTGTTTATAAAATTCAAGATTTTATCTGATTTTTTTTCGTAAAGTTTTTTCAATTGTTACTATATGACAGACATTTTGCTAAATCTTGGGACATACTTCCAATAAAAAGACTTTAAATAGGATTTATTTATATTTAAATAAGAGACCTTTAGGAAAGCAGAATCCTTTTTATTTAAAATCTTTAAATACAGCATAATTCTCTGTTTTGCATTATTTTCAAGGCTAAATAATTTTAGTTATTCTCTAGCCCAAAATATGTGTGTTTGCGTATAACCATACTTACCTATACATTGACATATTCTTTCCTAGTACTCTGGGTGTTGTAAAGTAAGTATTTTAATGTAAGTAGCTTCTGAAATAGAAAACTATAGTGGGAGAATGATATATAAAGAATATACCAAAAATCCAAAACAGTACCACATTATCATACACTAAGGAATTTAAACGTCAGTGACCTTTAGTTAAAAAAGTCGGCTGCCAACCTTCATAAAGTTAGTGCCATGTAATGAGTGTATGAAAATTTAAGGCACAGGGGCATCCCCATTTATTTCCTTAGTTACTTCAGTACTGAAAGTTACTAAGGTGTGCCATTATCAGGATCCTCTCAGGGGCTCAGATCTTTAGTCATTCTTTTTTTATTTTTTTTTCTTTTTTGAGACGGGGTTTTGCTCTTGTTGCCCAGGCCAGAGTACAGTGGCACCATCTCAGCTCACTGCAACCTCTGCCTCCCGGGTTCAAGTGATTCTCCTGCCTCAGCCTCCTAAATAGCTGGGATTACAGGCACTGCCACCATGCCCAGCTGATTTTTGTATTTCTGGTAGAGACAGGGTTTCACCATGTTGGCCAGGCTGGTCTCAAACTCCTGACCTCAGGTGATCCGCCTGCCTCTGCCTCTCAAAGTGTTGGGATTGGGGAGTGGGCCACCATGCCCGGCCCAGGATCTCTTGTATGCTGATTTTTGTATCTTGAAGTCCATGCTCAATGAATTAGAGAATCAGAATTTGTTTTAATACTGAAAGTCAACTGAAAGATATAAAGACTGATACACAAGTCTGCTCTTAGGAAATCCTGCATGCCACTAAACGTCTTATATGTTAGATATCATGTTGCTGAAGGATTTCGGCAAATTGTTAGCAAATTAAAAGGTAATGAAGGAGTGCCCCCTGATATTTCAAACCTGCTTTGTTCTAGACTATAAAGTAATGGAGATAATGAAACTAATGGAGGAATGGAGAAGTGAAGTCACATTCACTGGCCATATGTAATGGAATGGTCTAGGTATTTTAACATAAGTTATGTCTTTTAATTTTACTTCAATTTTGTACAGTAGAATGACCTCTGTTTTACAGCTGAAGGAACTGAGATCCTGAAGGTTTAAGGAGGTTGCATGAAAATGACACAACTAAGTGATACAGGCCAAGACATATCTAACTCCAAAGTCTAAGCTGTTCATTCTGGATAGAATCTGAATGTTAAATCATCTAACCTATATTTTAGACCTGTAGGCGCCACTGAGGGAAACACGAGAAATGACATGGTGAGACTACCATAGGTGTTAAAGTGCAGGTCTAACTACACATGGAAGGAGAGCTAGCAATTGTAAGATTTCTCACCCTATTCTGCATCAAACACAAGGAGGAAGAAGGTGGGATTTAAAATAAGCCAGCTGAAGTACAGTTCTGTCAAAGGTAAACTGCAGGTGTTTACTGGGTAGGAACTGTGACTGGCTGACTAACCTATCCAGCAGCTGAATGGAATGGCTTATTTTGTGTAAATGAAGTCAGTAGTATTTTCGAAGTTTCCAATATATGCCCAGCAGTAGAAAATGAAACAGCATGGAATGAAAGGACGGTCCTTAAATATAACCATCTCCAGAAAATAACCCTTTTTTTTTTTTTTTTTTTTTTTTTTTGAGTTTTGCTCTTGTTGCCCAGGCTGGAGTGCAATGGTGCAATCTCGGCTCACTGCAGCCTCTGCCTCCCAAAATGTTACAGGCGTGAGCCACCGCGCCTGGCCTTCTTGATTTCTTTTTTTTTTTTTTTTGAGACGCAGTCTCGCTCTGTGGCCCCAGACTGGAGTACAGTAGCACAATCTCGGCCCACTGCAAGCTCTGCCTCCCGGGCTTCACCCCGTTCTTCTGCCTCAACCTTCCGATTAGCTGGCATTACAGGCGCCCGCCACCACGCCTGGCTAATTTTTTGTATTTTTAGTAGAGACAGGGTTTCACGGTGTTAGCCAGGATGGTCTCAATCTCCTGACCTCGTGGTCCGCCCACTTCGGCCTCCCAAAGTGTTGGGATTACAGGTGTGAGCCACCGTGCCTGGCCACCCGTGTCTTTTTTAGACAGTAATGTTTGTAATGCCCTGTTAGAATCAGACTGATATTTAATACTCTGTAAGGCATACTTACATACATTCTGCTCTTTGCCATTAAGTTGTTAACTCCTTGGAACAGTGGCCTTTCTGTCCACATCTGTAGTCATTACTACAGCCCTCATAGCCCTTCTGTTTAGTAGGTTCTCAATGAGTTTGGAATGAGTGACTGATTCTAATTAACTGAATGACCCAGAAGTTTGGATGAATGAATGACACATTCTAGGGGGTCCAGCATAGTGAAGTTCCTCCCATCTTCTTGAATAAAAATGGTCCTGTGTTTGTGGAGAAGGTCATTCTTTGTATACCAGCGTGTAGCAGATCCAATGCAAAGGAGTGATCCCCCCTCATATCCTTTAGCCAGCCAGATAGAGACAGCCTGTATTCCCTATTCTATTTTTTTTCCACCTGAGTTAGACATCTACTTCATATGGTCTTGAAATGAGGTTTTTTACTTTACTTGCCTTCTCTAGGTAGTAATGGGTATGTATAAGTCCTAACCCGTTGAAACCATGCTGAATTAAAACAAATGCTGTAAGTCTGTTCTAATTTAAGTTAATAATTCTGAAACAAAATCCAGTGAAAACCAGAGTTCAGGGTATAAGTGTACAGTTTTTTTCTCATTGTGATATTTTCCTAAAAGGATACAAAGTTCTTCTAATTGTCCCCTAAGTGCCTCCTCTTGATTTCTAGCAATTAGTTGCTTTATCAGATTGCAAGATATTCACTCTGTGCAAGGCATGGGTTTCACTTGGGCCTTACATCTAAGGAGTGTAGCCCAAGACACAATGGACCCCAGTATGTTCTCTCAACGCTCTTCAGTACAAGAGGCACCATAGGCCCCCTCAGACTCTCTCATGCTCAGCTTCCCTAGAGAGGGTTAGAAGCACACAATAAAACAAGACTAATAATAAGAAGCTTCAAAATTTCTCAACCTCAGTTTTAAATCTGAAGTTGAAAATAAAAGAAAAAAGTTTCCTCAGTCATTCTAATTCTGATGGTAATCTCGAAGTTCTCCTGAGAAATATACCACCCAGCTTGGGAAGCTACAGCTGTTGATGTAGGTTTTTGGTTTTGTTCTGTTTGTTTGCCCACGGCCAGGGTTATGCATGAAAACTATGATGATATTTCTTTGCGTAGCCCACTGATTGAATAGACTTGGTCACGGGGTGAGTGCAGTTGAAAAATATAGTGCTTCTAAAATGGTATGTATTTCTCTGATGAGGTTATAAAGAAACAAAACAAAACTTTGGTGGTCCCTTTCCTATTTCTTAATCAAGTACAATAGAAAACACTGTTCTGATATGCATAAAACAAATGCTAACAATGTCTACAAGGACTCCTTTATTATAGACCTTGAAAATTATTATAACAGTAAATGTTAAACTACCAAATAACCAGGCAGTAGAAACTTCATCTGCTGGGATGAAGGGTAGGTGCCAGCTGCAAATGCGGTTAGAAGCATATGTTTTTCTTGCCTAATCAGTTGTTTTAATAATACCCTCTCTCCTTGCCTTACCAAAGGATAAACCACTTAAAACCCTCTCCCATGAAGATTTCTGAGACAATCCTAGTACATTATCATCTCACTGTCTTCATGGCACTTAGAACACAGATTTGTGAATACTTTAAACTTTCTTTAGTAATATACTCTTACCACTTGTTTTCTATATCTTGATATCTTACAATTTTCCCTAACTAAAATGTAAGTTCCTTGAATTCAAGGTCAT